CCGGGCTGTCCGGGTTGTGGGGGGTCGGAACTGACACCTTTTGGGGGGTCGGAAGAGACACCGTTACCCTCAGATGCCGTGTTCTCCCAGCAACTGGAGCAGAGCGCGTTGTCTTTGGTCTCAAGCCCATTCTGACGGAGTGGTGAAAATGTCCGTCAGAACCGGATATCAGTGTCCGAGGCAAGCGTTTTTGTTGGATTGGCCATTGCACGCTGCACAGACAGCCAGTCCCCTGCTGTGAAACGGAAAAACTTTCAATCACTAGCTGCGCTAAGCCCTTTGATAGAAACAGGTTTCCCGCGCACGCACGCTCGTGTACACATACATGTCATGCACATGTCACATATGCATACATACATATATATATATATATTATGTGTATATGTCTATATTCATCTAGAATCCTATATACACTTATGTGCTCTTGTCCTTGTTCTGTTTTGAACCTTGACCCTCGGTCAATGATTGAGTCGATGCAGGGTTCCGGAAGCAGCCTCATCATCTGCGAGTCAGGCCGATTTTTCATGTGACGGAGCCAAATGGCAAGAACAAGTAGAGATTGAGTGCAACGCATCTCGTTTGCCAATAGCCAGCTTCGCTTGAGTGATGAGGCGCCTGTCGAAGCGATGCCAGATTTACCCGGATTCAGTGCTGCAAACTTGGCAGAAGTCTGCAGTTCGCTGAACGGGTTCTGCAACTGCATGCTCTGCTCAGCTAGTGCAGCTAGTGTTGAACACCTGCGGCATGTCGGACAGTGTCCGTGCAAAACAAACGAGCGTCCACTGTACCGAGATCGGGTCCTTGGGGCATCCGTTCAGTTGCGCGGCTCCATGTTCCTCGTCTGCAGGGTGTGAGCCGATAGAATGCAGCGTGACTACACAATAAATGGAATCAGAAGCGTTTTGGAAGCAAACTTCCGATACTGATGGTTGCGAAGATGCTGCGGATAACCATGGTTGCGATTCGCGATGCACAAGAAGAGATGTGCAAGCATGAACGGTCGGTTGTCTCGCAGTCCTGGCGTACGTTTGATTCTCCAGCGGTGTGTGTGTGTGTGTGGGGGAGTAGTTAAGTTAAGTCTTCAGATGAGCGTAGCCGAACTGCAATGGCAGATGTACCCGCATCTCGTGACTGCGGTGAGCAACGGTGCCCCATGCTAGCTGCTCGTGATGATGGGAAGCGCATGGAGAGCGAACATGCTGACTACGGAATGCCACTGCTCTCGAGTGAAAGGAATCGGCTAAACCAAGATTCGAAACTGGCACGTGTTCGTTCAGTAGAATAACTGTTTGACCATGTTCGACCCCATGCCTTCATTTTCTCTGACCATCTCCCACTTCCCGTATCTTGCCATCTCTTTTATCAAGTAAGTGTAGCAGATCTGAGAGCTGCAAGCACTGCATCTGAGGTAAGTACGCGCAGAAGAAGCGAGGGTGCAAAGATGGTCGTTGGTGTGACCGCTGCCATTTCTGCATGTGGTACAGGTACCCGACTCAGCTCGCCGTCATATAGGCTTCTGCCGTTGATCTTAGTATGTATGTACGGTGGTGACAAATATAAACAGAAAAGTGCTGGTTCGAGGTTTGCAGGGAAGCCTAACTGTTCGCCAGCAGCTGCCTTGACCCGAGTGCTCTCTGCTTGCACATTTGAGGTATCCATCCGGATAGACGGAGGAGGTCACATGCCCGAATGCAGACAGAATCCAGTGCGTTGCATCATAGACGAAAAGCTGCACATCATAGAATTACAGAGACAGGATGGCCAACCTGCTGTTCACTTGCAGCCGGAGCGGGAGTGTGACCGGTGCCGTGATAGGAGAATTAGTGACATTCACGTTGACTCCTGGCTGGAGGCCGGGGAATATATCCGTGAATTTTATGGGGCGGCTGACTTCTTCTGCATTGCACAATGTTCACAACTTCGCACTAAGAACAGATCAATATGACTTGATGATTGAAAGTCGGGCTTGCCATGAGCACACGTTTCAACTACCGAAGGTAGTTGTGGTGTCTGCAAAGCTGTGCGTGACCGACATGACTGCTCCGCTCGGGCCGTCATGCCAACCACCCAGGAATCTTTCAAAAGTTTTGCAAAGGCCCATGAGATGGCCGAGAGCACAGGCAATTGGGCTCCTCGGGCCCTGAGCATGGAGGGCCCCCATTGGTGTTTAATTGATTTAGGCCTGGTAGCCCCCACCTTGCAGCTCAGGACCTGTAGCCTCCGTGTGCGCAAATTGCTGTTACCCAATATTCTCCGAAGTCGATGCTTTGCATGCGGGCAGTTGGTGATGAAGAAAAGCTAAGGAGACCAAGAGTCTCAGATATGTGGGGCAAGTTGGGATCACCCTTCTACAACATCAACTGCCTCTGGCATCTGAGATAAAGATGCTCATTTCGGTCTCTGTGGTTTTAGGAGATTGCGGTAGTTGCCGCATTTGAACGTTGACACCCTAAGCACCACGGAATCATCGGCTGGTGCTCGGTGCCAATGCCTTCTCCGCGAGGGCGCGGTGCGAGAACGCTTGCTGACATCTTTGTGCGTTGGGTGTTTTATCGGACTCAATCGTGAAAAGCGGCGCATCGATGCAGAAGGCTTTTGACTCTTGCCACTTTCCATAGTGCTGCTGCTGCGTGCTTGGCTGAGCCTGCTCGCCACAGACAGAGTGATTGGCGAGGTTCTGCGGAGCACAACCTTTGCTTTCAACCCCATGCCACTCCGAGACGAAAGTCCAATGCCGGTGCACGCGCTGCCACAAGTACGAGCTGGGTGTTCAGTCGACAGGGTGTAGACATTCCCATGCCAATTCATGCACGAGGCCCTGCGTCACCTCTATGTCGAGGAGCAGGCTATGTGGAGGCGGGACGGAAGCTTGCAAGTTTGCACTCAGTGCCCCCCGGCAAGCACACAAAACGCTTGTGCCAGTCGTTCTGGTGTCCAGCAGATGCACTGGAGCTTCACCGGCGCAGTGAGCTCGATTTATCTCCGCGAGAGGTTAGACGAGGCACCTGCAGGCTTATAGAACTCTTGGAAATCCTTGACCTAGGAACCTACCCGGACACCCTGTTCGGGGACAACGGAGTGGGATAGCGACGATTCCGACAGCACAAACAGCCAGGCCGGCATTGAAGTGCGCTAGGGCCGCCAGGGCACACAGTGCATGTGGTTCGCGACGAGCTTTTTGGGGGTTTCCGAAAATAGGGGACCTTAATATAGCACCCTAAATAATAGGATCCTTATTATCAGTACCCGAAAATAAGGTACCCTAATTTTCGGAAACCCCCTTTTGTGTTGTAGATGAGTTTGGGCCAGCTTGGCCTAATCACTGCTACACTCAAACAGCGGATGCCGGCCAGGGGAGCGATAGAAACGTTCTTACGGAGTCATGGCTGGCATAACCAAGTGGATGTCTTTCACGCAAACAGCACAGGTGAATACGGAAGCATGAAAACTGTAGACCAAAGCTATAATAGGATGCGAGCGACTTACTTGTTGTTTGACCAGTGTAAGAATCTGTCCGGTTTTGCAGTGCATCTATCGTAGGCGCAAGCGCCCTCGCATGATTTTCCGAAGTATGAACGGGTGACATCTCATTGTTTGCGTGTCCGCTTCAGGTGTTGCAGGCTTGCCGTTCCATGGTGGAGGTCCAGGCGCAAGTCGAGCCCGCCATAGTGTCAGAAACAAGGTGTTGGTGGCATTAAGACAGTACTAGTACTCAGGTACTGATGGTCGCAATGGAATGACTAGAAAACTCTTCGTCTTAGTCTTGCCCATGTGTCCATCACGATGAGAAACCCTTAGTCATGCTGGTTTAAGGATCATCACTTGGCGGACGCTCTGCAAGCTGCAGAAGAAGATTGTTCTTCGGGATCCACTGCAAGTCATTTCGCACTATGCGGTAAGTTCACGCCTGTGCTCTCGAGCAGGAAGAGGCTACGCCTGGACCAAGACCGAAGAAGGAGCGATGTGGGCCAGAAAAGCAAGCTGTGCCAGTGTAAAACACACCTCTGTTGGTGCAGGATCATGGGCTTCCGAGGGGGTGGGGGCCCCTGCATCTTCATAAACAAAGCCAGGCAATGTGCGGCCCGCTGAGCGCACGATGTTCGTGCATCAGTAGGACATGTTCCAGCGATCATGTCATCGAAGCCCGGCTGGATGTACACTGTGAGATTTCAACTCTGTGAGCAGCGCCAGCGCGATGCCATGGATGTCGTCGGACGTGAGCCTGCCATGCCGGTGTCGTCTGGGCGATCGGAAGAGTGTCCATCTTGCGACCTCCTCACCGGCCCTGTGACGGTGCGGATTCTTGCTGGGCCACGGCTGACATGGTCGCCAGGGGTAAACCCCTGTAAGTTCTGATGTGCTTGCAATCTAGTGCCACTGTCGCAGTGCTCGATTCTACGGGCTAGGGCTACAGGGGTCGACCGTCGACCCTTTCGCTCTCGTTTCTTTGTATTCCCGATTCAATGGCTGAAATATTCCAATGCAACAAAGCCCTCTCCTCCTTACGCAAACAGCGCCAGTGGGAGTCAGTCCTCGATCTGGCTTCAAGAATGCAGCAGCTTCGGGTTACGCCGGACACCTCCTCGTTCAACATTTGCATGGCTGCTCATCAGGAGAGTCAGAGTGGTTCGTCTCTGCAATGGGCTCCTGCTCTGCATCTGCTGGGAGAGCTTGGCACTGGAATGGGCCTGGGTCTCCTGGGTCTTCGTGCAGATTTGATTAGTTTCAACACCTGCATGTGCTTTGAAGGCGACCGCCATGGACCGTTCTGGCCACTGGCTTTGTCCTTGCTGGAGGAAATCGCGAAGAGAGGCATGACACCTGACTTGTTCAGCTTCAGCAGCGTGCTGCGAGCTTGTTCAAGAGGGGGCGCTGGCAGATGGGTGCAGTCGCGCGCGTTACTGGCATCGGTGGCGCAGCTTGTAAACTGCAATGTGGTTATGCACAACTCTGCGCTTGCTGCTTGTGAGGGTGCGGGTTCCTGGACGCAGGCCCTGAGTCGATTAGCTGTTATGAGCATGTCTTGGTGCCTACCAGACGTGATCAGCCTTACAAGTGCGACCAGCTTCATCGGAAAGAAGTGGGTGCTTGCATTGCAAACGCTCCGACAGCTTGGACAAGTCAACCCAAATTTGATCACATGGAACGCAATCTTGAGTGCCTGTTCCTCGGCTTCAAGCTGGCAGCATGCGGTCTCGATATTTTTCGGCTTTACTGATCATGGGGTCCGGCCGGACACCATCTCATTGAATAGCCTTGCATGCCATTCTGATGACAAGCGCTTCTGGAAGTATGGTTTGCACTTGGTTCGCAGTGCCTCTCCGCAGCTGAAACTGTCACCGGACGAGATCAGCTGCAACAGTATCATGACCTCTTCCGAAAAAGCTGGCGCCTGGAAACACTCGCTGGGACTGTCCAGTCACATGTCCAAGATGCGAGTCCGGTGTACAGTTGTGACACTCGGAAGAAGGATCTGTGCCTGGACAGGGGGAAGCCAATGGACTCGGGCACTGCAGGCCTTTATGCAAATAGCCCGAGCGCATGTCCGCACAAACGTGATTACGTTCAACAATGCCCTGGACGCTTGTGAGAGCGACTGGCTTTCAGCCTTGCAGCTGTTGGAAGACATGCGCACGAGCTGGCTTGCAATCAACGCTGTGAGTTACAGCAGCGCTGCAAATGCCCTAGCCAGATGTGCTGAAAACATCGACCAGAAGCGGTGGCCATCATCGCTGAGTCTTTGGGATCATATGGGTTTGGCGGGTGTTGCCTCCAACGAAGTGGTCCACAATGGCTTCATCAATGCGTGTGATGGCGCCACCTGGAACATGGCGTTGGACCACGTCTTTTGCATGGTAACTTTGCGCATGGCACCCAATCTCATAAGTATGAACTCGGCCATTGCAGCCTGTCAGTCAATTTCTTGCTGGCTCGCTGTGTTGAATTTGTTGCGGCACATGCCCCGGGCTGAGCTAACGCCCGACCTGATTAGCTATGCCGACGCTGCCGATGCATGTGCTCGGGCGGGCCAAGTGCATCCTACCTTGAAGCTCCTGCAGCTGTGTGATTCGATCAGTTGGAAGGATGCTGTGCCGACAAAATCTGGTGGGCCCCTGATTAACTCATGCTCACGCTACTGTAGTCACTGGTCTTCAAGCTTGGAGAACCCGACCCGAGGCATCCCGAGGCTTGTAGCTACGGCGTAAGGCCTAAGGGAATGAAACTGTAAGTACGTCTAGAGAGTATAGTTACCACAAGTATGTGCACGGTTTTCGGGTAGCAAACCGAGAACAGCATCCAACCGAGTTGCAGAACATGGCAACAATCTTCAGACAGCGGGTCTCGCATTCAAGCGTTTTGGGTTAAGACAGGGCTGAGTTCCTGGAAAGAACCCCAGCCCTCTGTGGTCCAATAGGGACTGGTAGTAAATTATATCTTGCTCGAAGCTCGGAGTGTGATAGCACTGGATGGCCCATCTAGTCACAACTACCCTTCAGGACTCGTGGTCGGGAGTGTCGGGAGTTCAGGTTACGAAGCCACAATCAAAAGCTCTTTGGCTCGTTGGTGCTAGAGCCGGTAGGGCAGTTGAAACATGCGGAGCTCCAGCGCTCTGCTGCAGTGGCATGGCGCGCAGTCCGGGTCGGAGCTTTGCAGGCCTCAGCCAAGCGGAGGTCACTCGCATGTTGACCTCGCTTCCTTCTGATCGTTGGGAGCAGGCTTTCCAAGCTCTCAGAGCCCTGAAGACTCATGGTTGCAGGGTCGATGCCATCAACTGCAATGCAGCCATGAAGACCTCTTCTACCTACGGGCCTTGGGCTGTGCAGCTCGCGCTCCTCGACATGCGAAACCAGCAGCTTCAGCCCACCACCGTGAGCTTCGTGTTGAGCATGGTGGCACTTGGGGAGCTACGGCAAAGATGGGAGCAGGGGCTTCGGCTCTTTGCACTAATGAAGGCTGCGGCGATTCAGGTGAACGAAAGGTGCCTCAGTGCCAGCATTGGGCTAAACTCCAGGTGCAGTCAGTGGGAAGCTGCCGTCAATCTGCTGAATCCTTCTGTAGACGACGCCTGCTTTAATGCGGCGTTGCTGAGGAATGAATGGCGCAGGTCACTTTCCCTGCTTCTTCAAATGGGTTTTCTAGGCCTACGGCAGACCGTTATCACCCTTGATACAGTGCTTCGTGCCTACCGAGAGGCTCATCTGAAATGGAGGGAAGCAATGGAAATTGCTTCAAAATGGGCAGTTCCCCAACGGAGGCTCCCTACTGCAGTCTACGGCGCCCTAGTTTGTACGTGTAGCTCTGCAAGGCAGCTGTCGATGGCTAGCCGTTTGTTTCGCCTCATGTGCCGATCGCGTGTGTCCCCCACAAGCTTTGCTGACCCTGTCCGCGCCTTCAGAGATAATGCAGCTTGGCACGAGACGCTGCAGCTGCTTGATGTATTGAATTCCTGCGGCGCGGAGGCAGACGCTGCAAGCTGCAATGCACTGTTGGGCTCTTGCAGCACGAGCTCTTGCTGGGCAGCTGCATGGGAAATCATGGCCCGTCTGAGCCAGGCCGACATAAAGAGAGATGCCCGCTGCGTTCTTGCTGCCGTCGATGCCTGCGGCAAGGCGAGAAGCTGGCAAGCTGCCTTGACCATGATATCTGACAGCATGAGAGCCGACATCGTCATGACAAGTCACTGCCGCAACGCTGCCATCAGCGCATGCGTGCCGGGGCAGTGGCCGAGAGCCTTGATTCTGGCGAATGGCCGGAAAGAGCATATCGCAGCAACGGTCGTCACGATTGGTGCACTGCTTAGCACTTTCACAGAAGGGCAACAGTGGCGGGCAGCTTCAAGCACCTTCTGCCACGTCATGGTGCATCGTATACGACCAAATATAGTCGTGTATAACACTCTTATCAGTGGTTGTGAGAACTGCCAGGTCTGGCAGCATAGCTTGCAGTACTCACAGACACTCAAGTCCGCGAAGCTGCAAGGTGATGAGATCACATACAATGCGCTCATCAGCTCATGCGAGAAAGGAGGCAGGTGGGATGCCGCTGTCAGCGCATTAGAGGAAATGGGACTACAGAGTGTGCCGCGGCGCACCACCTCTATCAATTCGGCCGCTGGTGGGCAGTGGAGACAAGCTGTAACTGTATTGGAAGAGATTTGCAGAAACTGGCTGCAAGCCGACTCCTTCACGATGACTGCTGCGATCGGAGCAGCTGAGAGGGAAGGAGCTTGGATGCAATCCCTGCACATGCTGCAACAGTCAGCCGCCAACTACCTGCGGCTTCATTCCGTTTGCATCAATGCAGCCGTTAGTGCATGCCAGAAAGGAGGCAGCTGGACTTTCGCAGTATACTTACTAAACTCCAATCATGAACCAGAGATCATCACTTTCAACGCCTGCATCAGTGCTTGTAGCATGTGTGTCCAGTGGCAGCTTGCTACAAACATGCTTTGCAGAGCGGGACGTGGAGGGCTGGTGCCAAGTCATATAACTCATCAAGCCGTGCTTGAAGCGTGTTACGGGGCACGCCAATGGCAGAGAAGTATTTTGACATACAGCCGGGAGCGGGTCTGGGATGTGACAAGCTGTAGTATAGCTGTGCTTGCGAGCCGTGGAGCAGGTTTTGGCTTGACTGCCATCTTCTTGGCCCAACTGAAGGTAGGCCTCCTTGGGCAACTGCGTTCCGGCACCCAGCGTGCTTAGGCCTGCAGATGCTACAGTAGAAGATTCTGTCGCCTCGCAAGTGGTGAGGAGGCGTGATGTGGCGTGTCACGTTAAGATGACGAATTTGCAGATGTTTGCCAATGCAGTTGTACAGCTCCAGGCGGGTACCTCTTTGACCGAAGTTTTGCGTCTTCGTGGGACAGACCCAATGACGCAATTTCGAATGCACGCTTCAATTCCTGCCAAAGCAACTACTGTACAGGAGTTGCCCGGCAAAGGCAGGCATCACCCTGCACGTTTAATTTCAGCTTGGGGGACCACTTTGCATCTAAGATCCTAAAGCAGGCTTCCCTTGCCAAGGCTAGGACATTGGCCTAAAGTCGATGCTTAAGGCTTTTCAGTTGTCAGGTGCCGTTCTATCTCGGAAACAAGTCTCAGAAGCAATTCCATGAAGCACATGAACAAATTCGAGACCAATTCCACCTGAGGCCATCGAGACCAAGGCTACCCTCGGAGGCACGAAGAGACCTGTCGAGCTGTTGATGGCAAGGTGTGAGCGTTGGTGATTGTGCCAAGGTCGGGCCTGGCAGCATAAGCATTTCACGTAGTGGAGTGCGAAGGGAACCTGACAGCGGCCAAGATGCGACTGGATTTGGAAGCGCATGTCTTTTCAGGACCTGCCTTCCGAGCAGAGTCTCATTGAGGATATGCAGCACATGCCTCAATAGTTCTCAAGCAATAGTGGTGCTACTTCGCGTCGCCCAGCAACTATGAAACCTGCAGGACACTTGCGACATTTCCACTGGTTAGTCCAAGTGCTCAGGTTCGAAGCCGGGCAGCCTGTGATTCAGGCAGGCGTGATCGAAGTACTGTGCTTCGGTGTCTGCTGTCTTTTGCACAGAAACCCGACGGAGTCGTAGTCGTAGTCGTACAGTTGCCATGCGCGTTCAGGATCCCTTTCTACTTGTAGCTATCATGCTTGATGCTTCATCTTGATGCACTCGCCCGCAGCTGGCATAAACTGAAATACAGGTGAACTGAAGATGGCTGGTGTAGGCAGGGCATGTCGGGCCATGCTCATGTACCCGTTTTCGTCAACATGGCTGGCTCTTATTAGAGGAGGCTTGAATAGAATGAACATGTACTCGTATACGTATGTAATATAATCTAATATAATGTGTATACAAAATCTAGCATAAAAATCTAAGATAGTATAGTATCGTATAATGTAATAACACACGCATATATATAGATGATGAGACATATATGGTATAATACAATATAGTTTGATGTAGTATAGTATCATGTAATCTGGTATGTATGTATATATATATATATACAAGAAGCAAGGAAATGCATAGGCACAAATGTTTTATGAACAATGGCGTTCGTCCCGAGGAGCCGAAATATAGTAATGAGTGGGTGTGACAAAACTGCGGCCGTATGGAAAAGTAGGCCGACCGAAGCACACCAAGACAAGAGGTATTGCATTGCATGGGAGCATCGCCTCCCCGTGGCCATCCATGCAGACTTCAGATCAAGGTCGATAATGGCTATGTATGGTTGGCTGTCGTTATTGTTTTGTAAACACATGTTCATTGAACTTCCACATTATCAACAGAATCGAATAATTTCAAGTTTGTAAGTATGTTTTGCAGTTTTTACATTACTTAATGTGTTCATCCGTTTGTACAGTCATCTACCGAATAAACCGTACTGCCAGATAGTGTCATTTCACATGTCAAAGTTTTAGCCCTCGCACCACTGCACAACAAGTCCTGTGTATCTGCAAAATCAAAATAGCAGCAAATAAAAAAGCAATAGTCGCAATTTGTAGCAACTCATGCTACGTGTAGGTATTGTTACTATTGCGGGAGGTATGGTCGTCATTGCGTTACCTGCCCAGCCTCCGTTTCGATTCTCAAGCATGTCTCAATGCTACTTGTACTTTGCTATTCTATTTCGGTTTCACGTGTAGCTTCATTGTTACGTTTAGAAATGTTATTGTTGCCATTACTTGCTACTGTGGTTTTTGTATCTTAGCAATGCTTGCTAATCCAATCAACACCCTGTGCCACCCCCTTTGATACCATTTCTTACTTAAGATTTACTGGGGTTCGCTCAGGGTATTTCGACTTTTGTTCAGGAACATCGTTTCATGCTAACCAAGCCTTGTAAAGTAAATGCATTACGTGCTCGGTGTTGTGTTTATTCACGTTAACAGGTAGAAGCATACCAGCTGTCATTATTGTTTGAACATTCACACATGTGCCCGTAGCACTCATCAACTTGCACAAATCCTTCTCATAAAATGATGGTTGTAATTGTCAGATAACACGCTTGGTTGGTACGACGGATTGCTAGCCTTGAAAACCAACGATAATCCAACATGACGTGGCTGCTTATTACACTTTGTACCACTCTAGGCTGTATGTCGTTGATGTTTGTTACTAGATTTTGCATGTTGTCTGGCTTCTTGTTTAAACCAGTTGAATATTTACATGCTTACTCTGAATTTCAGTTTTGTTCATCTGAAGTGTGGTCGTCATGCAGGTCATATCCGTTCTATTGATCGAACTAGGGTTTAACAATCATGGAAAATGTTGCTTCCACTAACATTTCCAATCATTTCCATGAATGTTGAAAAACTTCGGGAGCCGGAGCCAACATGTAATTATTGGAAAATTTTGAGGCAAAAACCAATAATTTCAAGGAATTTAAAGACCATGTAGGAGGCAAAATGAATTTAAAGAACCTCGAGAGCCGGAGCCATAGTTTCGGAATCATGTGTTTGTTGGCAAGGCCTACATTTTCCATCGGTGACCCCCTCCCTCCGGTACCCAAATTTGCGTGTTCATGCCCATGAGGGAGGAGAGCAGAACCTGGGCACCGGGGGCTTTACTATATATATATATATATACACATACATACATGTATGTATAGCTGAGGTTGTCTTGGAGGCTGCATGTAAAGAGGTTTGCTCCATTGCCTCGGCCATGGTGAAATGCCAAGCGTCGTGGAGTCAAGGAGGATCTATTCCGAATCTCGGCTTTTTAGATCTCAGCTGCAAGTTGTTTCTGCTGAGCTGGCTCGACTTGAGGACTTGTTACGTTCGCTCGTAGGTTTCATTGACGACAAACCCCACTGAGGAGATTCGAAGGAAGCGATTGGTGCTAAATGAAGACTACGAGCTTGGCCGTTCCGAGCCCTGTCTGAGAGCTTGTGTCAGTGCAGCCCCACTTCCTGGAGGGCTTCAGGTGTTTGGGTTTAGGGATTTTGGTGGCGCTTTGGTGCATGAGGGTCTGCAGCAGCAGCTGCGAAAGGTGAGCAGTGGCCGTACGCAAAATGGACCGTGTACTATCGATTGATTGCCGCCCCCTTTTGCCCGAGTGGTGCAAGGTTTGGGTGAGGGCTTTGGCTTTTTGAATTCTCCTGCAGATTCCTGTAGCTACAAGCTGTCCGAACTTGTGCCATCCATTTCGAAGAGCTCCTTGCGCTGTGTTGGCGGGATTCGAGTTTTGATTGGAGTCTGGGACAGCTTCGACTACAGAAAGGATTCGCATGCGGGGGGAGAGAAAGAGAGAGAGACAATAGAAAATTAACAACTCTTGCAATATCGCCCTATGTATGCCGAGTGGAAGAAGACGAGAGAGTCGGAGCCTCTGGCACTCGCAACAGGCGGGGGCCGGTGGGGAGGCGAGACTCTGGCGAAAGAGAGAGAGGAGAGCGTACCTTTGGCGTAGCGCTTCGGCACAGAGGGGTAGGGAGCGTGCGTCCCTATTCCCTCACACGCTGTGCAAGCAAGCAAGCAAGAGTGCCTTTAACTGTGTGCAAGGAGGCAGAGAGAGAGAGAGAGAGAGAGACAGAGAGAGAGAGAGAGAGAGCGAGCGCGGGAGGGGGCGTTTCTGCGCTTTCTCCTTGACTGTGTGGAAGAAGAGAGAGAGAGAGAGAGAGAGAATCACCTTGCTACGTTAACGTAAACTTAATGGCCTTAGCCTTCTTGGTGATTTATGCTCGTACCTCACTCCCTTGCGCCCAACTAATAAAGTTGGGTGGGCATGATGCCCGGGGGATTTGA